GTTCCAAAGATTTCAAAACAAAAACTATGTATCAAGGGATTTTTTATCCATCTATAAGAATTACGGTTTAGATTTTTCATCGGCATAAAACTAGTTTCTTTCCTGTACTTGTTCAATCCTTTAATCATATATTTATGAAAAGTGTTTTTAGCAATGGATGTGTTACTTTATTATTGTATAATGTATTCTCATTGATATACTGTCAATACTCCTAAATAGAAAAGCAAGAGAACGTCATTTTGAATGACTTCTTAAAGCTGCTAACTTAATTAATGTAATCTTCATAACAGCATTCTGTGTACCTCGCTCCCTAACTTTGATTTAGTTCATTATCCATGCTGAGCACAAATCATGATTGATCATTAAAGCGCCAGGAGCTTGAATACATTTTTGCGAATTTGGTTTCTTTTTGAAGCTCCAGGTGAAGCGGGGCCAGCAGCAAGTTGGGCTGTTTGTCAGCCTTCAGGTCTATCACAGTGCATCTGATCTCGCCATCAAAGAGGGAAGCATCACCCTCTGCGTCCTGCTCTCTGTGACGAAGGCCTCCACCGTATTTCTCAGATTCGGCTTCTCGGAATTGCCTCTACCTAACATGACCTCTTGGCCACGATACAAAGATTGAATTTTCAGGGCCGGCAGCAGATAATCAGTAATCTCAAGTCGCAGCATCTCTGCCAAGTTCACAATCTTTTCCATCTTCATATTACACTCTCTCTAGTGAATCTCCTGTTTTCAGTCTAATTCTTCTCCCGTCTAATTGCCTCTGTGGTTGCAGGAATATCTTTAAGTTTATTTCCCGTCAATCCGTTGGGGACTTGGAGCTTAATCACAGTGGAATGGAGCATCAGCTAAATGCCCAAAATGTAAAATGTCAGAGTGAATTTCCAGAGCGAGGGGTGAGGAGGGTTGAAGCAGTTTTTCACAAAGTCCCAGTGGATTGGGAAGTGGGTCGGGTGTTTAGACATTTTGCAGGGGGAGGCATTGCTAAATGTCCACAGCTAAAGTAGGTCGTGGTTAACCTTGATAAATCTCACATATAACTAGAAGAGAGATGGAGAAAATGATAAAACATGCATCATTTAAGGTATTGTATTGATTGTATTGTGCGCTAGTATTCATCTTGAAGTAAAGGTCTGACAAAGCATTCCTTTATAAATGAAACATTACAATAACTCTTTGGTTTATTGCAGGACTTTCTCAGAACGTGCGTAACAGTGACGCATTTCTTACATATGAAGTTTAAATAGATATTTTTCTTTACCCATTTTCCCCACATGAGCAATCAACCCTTATTGTTAGGTATTAACTACGCAAAACGATTAAGACCAAACAGCTTTTAGTCCTTAATCTTAACCTTTTGTTGCTTTGATTTCCCTCTTTGATTTCACTCTTTACATTTTGAAAAATTAAATATATGTTACAAACACCGTCTCCACGAAAACCATGACCTCGCTTTACGCACTTTGGCTATAGTCGCCCAATGCTGTGTTTCTTTCTCGATCATTCTCTCCAACAAACGTTATTAGGACAAACAATGTGGCCTGTTCTTCTCATGTTTGACATTTCCAAGCGTGAAATGTCTCCCAAGACAAAGAGCCTTCTCTCTTTATTGCCTGGATATGTGCCTGTGGGTGGAAGCCCTATTGTATGTCCTTGCACAATTGCTCGTGTAGGCTCTGCACTCACTGACTTTATCCGCTTTAGTGAACTCTGAGCTTGCGACTGAGTCAGAAGATTGATTTCTCCGCTTTATACCCTTCATATCCGCCATACTGCCCACCTTTGGCACACTGCGCTATAGGCAACCAGCCTGTATTGTCACCTCAATTCAGCGCCGTGATTGATTTGAGCTCTTAACGGCTGTATTTACACCACAGCACTGTATTTGCAGTTCACATGGCTCGCAGCTCTTTGACACACAGTGTAATATCTGAATGGAGGCGTTATCAATGGAGCTGCTGAGGTGTTGCGGCTTGCCTTGGCCGAATAGAACAAAGACGTCAGGCTTTAGTCATGCTTTTTGTATTTGAGTAACGTCATTTTCAGAAAAGCATCAGGCAACAACAAAATGTAAGAATACAATTCAAATCCTATAGAAAGAGCATTGTGGGATTAAACAAAGTGTGTGATAACTCAAATGTGTGATATTTCATGCTTTTTTTATGCATGTGATTGACTTGTTTTTGTTTCAAGAATGTTGGCCAATTGGATTGTGGGAAAATATGCTAGAAATGTCCTCAAATATTTTGACATAGTAAAACGATTAATAGACTTTTGGACAACATAATCTGCAGATTAATTCCCAAAAAGTAATCATAAGTTGCAACCCTATTTGAAACAATTGCTTGTATTATATTATAAACCAAACCTTTTCTAGTGACCTTCAATGAACTAAAGGCTCTAAATAAGTCCAACAAATCTAATCTTATGACCTCTTTTGATTCTTTATTATGGTTTTATTTATCCTACTCCAGTTCTCTAGCAACACAACAGTGGGGTATTTGTTTCATTTGTGTACTGCAAACTCATTATTTTGAGTTGGTTGTAATGAAGTTCACGCAGGAACTTCCTGTTGCATGCATTGTAAATCACTCCAGTCAAATGGAAATGCGCACGCAGAGCACCTGAACGCATCGTTCCGCGGGGATCAGCGCCAGCATGGCTGATGTTGTTACACCAGAAGTGGCTAATGAGCTAACCTTCCGCTTTACCTCCGCATACCTCTCTGTAATTATCGCCTTCAGCTCCCACGAGAGCCAGTGAAAGGGAGCGGTGCTTTCATCCCCATCCAGCAGGAACAGAAACAATAGAAAAACCAGGCGCCATACAATGGACACTTAAACTGCCCGATGGAGTGGATGAATGTACTAAACAGCGGGTGATGTTGCTGCTTATTTTGAGTCAAAGGATACTTCATGGCGTAGCATTATAACACAGCTTAGAAAATAAACTATCCGCACTGTTTGGGATATACAAAGCACTTGCTTTATTTACGTATGTTTCCTGTAGCCATTTAATGGTTCCGATTGGAGGAGCTACCTTTTTTACCAACTTCTCCTCATCTTATCTCTACTTCAGGTTTCAGTGTCTAGCTCAAGGGCATTTTAGCTGCAGTCTTTGGTGAAAAAACAAGTTAACTTTCCATTTCTTTGGTTTGTTTTTGCACAGCCTAAGCAGCAATCTAACTCAGATCCATTGTTTACCTTAATTTGGTGCCGTCAGGTGTAGAGCAATACGTTTATTTGATTGAATGGTCCAAGGCTTCCAGTCCATAACTCTTCAACATGCTTTGAATAACTTCAAAGTCACTCCCTTTAATTTATCAAAATGACAGATGGCCTTCAGATTTTTCAGTCTTTTAAAAGACTTCAGTCAATGACGGGAACATTTCAGTTCTGCCTGTTTCTGTGAAATAGTTTGGGACTTCATGTGGAATGGATTTTACGAGTAAAAAGCTGCAAAGAGGCAGAGTGACCTCACCTGCCAGTGAGGTGGCCGCTCTCCTCCAGCTGCAGCTGTTATTGAAGAGAGACCTGCAGCGCTTCCATGACCCTGGATGGCATTAGCTGGCTTTACGTAAGCAGCCGTTTTATTGAAAAATATCATGATCTACCAAAAAGTAACCTTCATTACGGAAGCTAAGCCCTGATTTCTGGAAGATTATGTGACTGGAAACACTTTCAGGGCGGTCTGGACACTTCTCTTTTGCGAGGTTATTTCACTGGGAGAGCAGAAGTGGATAAGGATTATATAAATCTGAGCATTACTCTTTATTTGTCCTGGACTTTTCTGTTAAAATACGGAACATTTTGAGTCATTAAGGCAAAACAAAAGCCAGTAAAAGGAGGGCGCAAATCCTTCCTAGTATGACAAATACAATTTAAGGGAAGTTAGATTGATAAAACAAGTATAAATACATTTGGAAACTTATTTGTTATGAAACCCTTCAGACCCAACACATTATGATAATTATAGAACTCCAACAGGCACACATTAAAGGCCATATAAAATAGATTATGTACAATTTACATATTGACTTATCATAAAACAGACATGATTCATACTTTTCAAACTTCTTCAGTAGCAATGGGAAGTTTATAACCCTTTGACTCATGCACTGCCTTCCTTTTTCCATGCTTGATGAGCTGTTTTTCACCCAAACTAGTAAGTCACATTTGTATCAGAGTTGGCTGTTTTTCAGCAGAAATTCAATCATGTGAAAAGATATCACCTCGATAAGTACCTGAGTAATAAAAACAGCTTTGAAATTTGGTTTCTCAGGTCAAGAGAGGTAACACTCAGCGGCAAAATCCTACTCACTGCTCCTTTTGGTGCACAAAATGATACGTAGGAAGCAGTCCTGGCTTCCTGTGTGTCTGAAACATTTAGCTGCTGTGTTGTCAGCAGTCTAAACCGGACTAACTCTCTGACAGGTGATGAGAAGCGGCAGCAGCAGCGCTAGACTGACAAGCTGTCATGCAATATTTCTCCCCGGATATCATTTTGCAAAAAAACCTGCTGTCTGCGTTCATCCGCAAGAAATCAGACTCTCCTTTATTTTGGTGGGGAGGGAATCAAATAGCTCTCTTCTGTTGCTTTTGTAATCAGGATTTTGATTCCTCTTATTTTTTCTGTCATGCCTGGATAATTTGTATTGCCTACCTTACAACAAAACGTTTTCATTGGTGTATTGGAAGTGCATTTTATTACAAATACATTTTTGACGACTTCACGGTATTGCATACTTTGAGGCAGTAAAGAAATGTCCTTCCACCAGTTATTTTCAAATTACTACATTCTCTGTCAATGACCTTCTCACTTCCCTTGTAAATCTTTCAATTGAAAAGCTGCTTTTTCAAGTTAACCTTGTAAAATATGTGATAGAGAAATTGTTATTTGCAACCGCTCGTTCAGGAAAAGCCAACAATGCTGTCTTAATAATGACACTCCTTGAAATTCAAACAAAACTATAACGTTGTCTCCCTCTTCATCCTCTCCAGGTGCCATCCTGGGACGCTCGGAGACGAAGCAGTGCGCCTACTACAACTCCAACTGGGAAAAGGAGCGAACCAACCGCAGCGGCATCGAGCCTTGCAGGGGCGAGGAAGACAAGCGGCGCCACTGTTTCGCCACGTGGAAAAACGTCTCCGGTGCCGTGGAGGTGGTAAAGCAAGGCTGCTGGCTGGACGACGTCAACTGCTACGACAGGTACGCAGGAAGCAGAAAATAAACATGTAATGCCTGAACAATCTAAAGAAACCAAATCAATGGTAGTTCACCCGTAGGTCTGTTGAAAAACCCAGCTTTAAAACCATTTTCAGTGACATTTAAAAAATCAACGTCACTTGTTCATCGTCAGAATAGACTGGTTTGGTGTGTTGTCACTTTTGACAGCATTGAAGAGTTCCTCAAACGCCTCACATATGGCTGTCAGGGACTTGCAAATCCTCCCTTTTTGAGAAAATGTGAAAACATAACATCTCTTCTGTTGATTGTATGTGAAATATGTCATTTATACCTAGTAATAATCTTGGTTGAAGGTCAAATTTGCTCTGAAATATAAGGTATTTGCCCCACAAACTAAATGTATACGTCAAAGATTATTAAACTGAATCCATGATTGGGTATTTAACACTAGAACCGCCAATCGGGTCAATTTGACCCAGAGCTGTTTGACCCTATTGTGTGTAACTTTTTTTCAACAAAATATTAAAGTCTTCCAGTCCGTGACTTTTCCTGAAAGTGTGTTATGTAGCACCCTATGTTGTTAAAAATTGTCAATATGAAGTCAGATTGAAGAAATCGCCCAAAAAATTGCCATATATACCTATTTCCGCCCAGCGGGTCATATTGACCCCACCCCTTTTCATATAAACATGACGTGTTGCTATAGCAACGCCTTTTGTCTACTGCGGTTCCTTATAGATTGAGAGATATATTGAGAGAGAGAGAGATAGATGGATAGATATATTGATAGATAGTTATAGATAGAGAGAGAGAGAGAGAGAGAGAGAGAGACAGTCTGTAGTGAAGGAGTGGCTCCCGCTCACGGGAGACTGCTTGCGCTGCGCTCCGCAGCAAACAGCTGTGGGGCGAGTTGAAAGTACGTTATGCTGGCCGGGGTGTCTAAATAATGCTTCCGGGCCAGCGGGCCATTTATAATGTCGAGCCCTGTACATATGAAAAGCTGAGAGTCCACAGATTATATTGGTATACGTTTCATCCCTGTGCGATCAAAACTCACTGTTCAATAAAAGAACATTTTACCTTGAAAATCAATGCATTCTAATAGCGGGTCAATTTGACCCAGGTGGCGGTTTTAGGTATAAAAAATCTCTGGTGGTTCTAGTGTTAAACGACTAACAGATGTCAAAAAAGTAAATGTACAAACGTATCAAAGATCCATCCAGTTTCGCCTCTTTAAACGATGCTTCAAAGCTTTACATTAATTCCAAGCAAACACACCATGAAGAGACGTTGACTCTGTAAACAGTTCAAATCAAATTACCAGAGTTTTTGGTTGATTTCCCATCTTTAGAAATTGCCGTGCAGATCTTAACAGACCATGGTGTATTCCTCCAAACACAGAAACAGATATGATATTATTCTAGTTTCTTCCTGGCTCTAACCTCACCCTGGCTGCTGGTTTGAGCCGGTTCTGCTTGTGTTTGATTCGCGAGCGATAAAGTAGATGGTGCAGCCCGCACAGTTTGGGTACCTCTGCTCAGACGGCGCCGCCTCGCCTCCCTGGAGAGTCCAGAGCAAGGCGAGGGCGGCTGCTGCCACTTCCTTTGGCTTTTATCTGATGACTGTGTGAGTGTGAAGCAGAGAGAGTGTGAGATTGTAAGTGTACACGTGTGTCTCTTTGCATGTGTATTGCCGTGTGTAGGAGTCACTTAATAAATGTTTTCCTTTCATGTCTTCCGAGAGGCAGGAGGGGAGTGTGTGTATGGGCCTCGTAAAGCATCTGCAGGGGGAAGTGTGTGAGCACATCAGCGTGCAGTTGATGAGTTTGCGCGTGCACTCACTGGCACTTAAATAAAATAAATTGCTTCCCTGTCCTCTGCAATCGTGCAGAGAGGAGGGGATCGTTGAGTTCCTTGTTTTCTAATTCCCACCTCCATGTCTTCCGCAGTAGCGAGTGTTTGGAGAAGAAGGAGAGCCCTGACGTCTTCTTCTGCTGCTGTGAAGGCAACATGTGCAACGAGAAGTTCCTGTACGCCCCTGAAGTGCCCCAACCGGGAGCACCGCATCATTCTACCGCCTACAGTATGTACACTTCAACACACACACACTTTACACACTAGGGTTGTGTTGCTGCCCAACCTAAAGTGGATTTTGTTCGAGTTGAAAAGTCAACTTTCTTATATTACATGAGTATTTCTGCTTACACCAGGATTCATGAGCAAAAACACCCACGAACAGTAGCAGGGAGAATACGATTTTTAAAATATCGTGTTGCCTCTATATATGTGTAGTTAGTTTAAACTTTATTTTCTAACATCCCAAAACAATATCCAGGATTATAATTTGAGAACAGGAACAGGTTATTTACCAGGTAGTTTGACACGTACGAGGGACTTGACTTGGTGTCGTGGTGCATACATTTGATTTGATTTGATTTATTTTGAATGTGTAAAGCAATAATACCAAAAAAAATGAAATTAAACATGAGAATTATTATACTATGCAAACTTAAGCGGTGTCAAATTGATAAACAAAAATATTACTGACTTACAAATTATATAGAAACAAATGATCTACTTAATTACACATCCGAAAAGGGGTGGGAAGAAGTTTCCACTTATTTAATCCCACCCCAATTATTAACATATATATTTATTTTTTTAACACATAAAAGTCATTAAAAAAAAGTAAAAACACTGATTGAAAACAATTTTAAGAAAACTATAATAACATTAAAAAATAATAAAACATATAGCAGTATTTACATTGAAATAGAATAGAATAAAATATGTGCAGTAATAACAAAAAAATCCTCCAAAAAGTGTGTAATGTCAGGTACAAAACTGATCTCCAGGGAACACAGGTGTGGCTTTTTGAAAAGCAAAATGATGTAGCCCGTTATACTCTGTGTGCGCTCACAAACCGGTGACAGTTTGGTGTCCTTGAACTCATCACCTCGCTGCTGAAGGCGCGTCTGTCTTTTCCTATTCCTTTAAATGTGACTCTGTGAAACCTGCAGACACCCTGTAGAGAAAAAAGCTTTCTGACAATCGCCTTGAGCGTCCCACCATGCAGCTGGTGCAGCCCCGTCAGCCCCACAGTCACTTGTTCTCTCACCCCCTTCACCCCCCCCCTCGCCCCCCACCCCGCGGATGGCGTCCGGGCGTCGGCGCTCTGACAGGGGCTGCCCAATCAGACGCTCACACCTTGTGATGGCAGCACGGGCTGAGCCAGCAGGCGTCACCCTGCAGGGGTCGCACACAGTTCACAGCTCTGTTATTTTTGGAAGGGCGGATTACGTTATGTCACGAGATGGATTTGCTAATCCTGGTGTGTGTGTGTGTGTGTGTGTGTGTGTGTGTGTGTGTGTGTGTGTGTGTGTGTGTGTGTGTGTGTGTGTGTGTGTGTGTGTGTGTGTGTGTGTGTGTGTGTGTGTGTGTGTGTGTGTGTGTGTGTGTGTGTGTGTGTGTGTGTGTGTGTGTGTGTGTGTGTGTGTGTGTGTGTGTGTGTGTGTGTGTGTGTGTGTGTGTGTGTGTGTGTGTGTGTGTGTGTGTGTGTGTGTGTGTGTGTGTGTGTGTGTGTGTGTGTGTGTGTGTGTGTGTGTGTGTGTGTGTGTGTGTGTGTGTGTGTGTGTGTGTGTGTGTGTGTGTGTGTGTGTGTGTGTGTGTGTGTGTGTGTGTGTGTGGTGAGATATGACTCCTAAGCACACAGGCTGTAAGCAGGGTTGATACTGCACTTAGAGATGATGCAGCACAATGTCAAACCAATCAGGCAGCTGTGGAAGTACGCAGATTATTTGTAGCCATACCAAAGAGTAAAAATACTCTATTGCAAGTAAAAGTCCTGCATTCAAAATCTTACTTAAGTAAAGTTATCAACACCAACATATACTTAAATTGCTTAAGAAAATAAAAGCATTTGTTAAGCTTTATGGCTTATTTCTGAATGAAGTATGTTACAATGATTGAATTTGTATTATTGATTAATAAATCACAGCTGGCATAAGTGTAGCTATGTATAATAGCATAGTATAATTACTATATATACTGCTGCTAGATATCTTAACTGATATTTATATGTCAATTTCTTTTTATTTAGACATAACAATGTGATATATTGGATTGTTTTATATTTTCATGAAGATTAAAAAAAGCCAATTCCTAACTTGTCAACTCTGTCTCTCCTCACAGCCACCTCCAACCCATTTTCACAGAAGCCCCAGCTGTTCAGCACTCTGCTGTACTCCCTGGTTCCCATCATAGGCCTGGCCGCCGTGGTCCTCTTCTCTTTCTGGATGTGGAGGCATCACAAACTGGCCTACCCCGCCGCCCTCGTCCCCACACATGTAAGTCTCAGAAAAACTCTTAAAATGTGAAATGAAACCTTCCAACTAAAGTCCACTCCATGACAACTTTTGCGTCTTCATCAACCCTCATCACTGTGGTGTGTTTCCAGAGGTCACCTGTCAATCAAACGGTGTGGCAGGGACACTGGTGTCGGCTTTCTTCAAAGTTGCTGCTGATGCAGTTAGGGTTTCTCTTTTAGTCCGTGCTTCATCTGTTAATTGCAAACAAAGAGGAAAAAAGTCAAACGCATTGTTTCCTGCGTCGCAAATTACCCACATCCTGTAAAATCAAACACTAAAGCTTGCAAAAGCGCATACAAATAATCAAGATAGGTACATTTAATGCTGTACTTACATAACAACCATTAAATATATCAAACAATACCATCAGCAGTTGCTCTACTCTGGTTGATTTCATGAGTCAATTGTCATTAGTTTCTCATGTGAAAAAATACTTGTTTTGTTTGGAGTAAAAACCAACCTTCAACTTTACAACTGATCTAGTCCGCCGTGCACACAGAGACAGAGACACACTGTGCCCAGAGTTTACGTTGAGATAATTGCTTTTTTCAGTTTCTTCTTTTAAAGTTGTATTGACTTGGTTTCCTTTTTACCTTGAGTCTCTTTCTGAGCCAACACTCAGACTGTAGTTACGACGGCTCATATTGTCTCAGCTTTTAATCACACAATTGCGAAATGCAAGTTTGAGGCACATCTGGTCGTGTCGTCGTTCGCTTATTCATTACTCATTCCTTTTTTGCCATCAGGGTTTTTCCATAGCTGAAAAAACATCAACTTTTCATGTCTTCACTGGACAGTTTCATCACCTGTTTTAAACATCTTCTTTAAACATCTTCATCCTCCTAGGGCTGGGAATAACGCTGTTTTGCAGAATTCCTGATTCATATCGTTTTTTTGTTATCACTTCAAGGCGGTTATGAGCCAACAGCAGCAGAGCTATATTCTCTGCAGCTCGGCAGCAAGGGGGAAAAGAAAACCCAAGCAGAGCTTCCACCGTATGGAAGAGGAGTCGGGGGCCTCTGCATTATTGATGAGGCTTTATATAGGCAAACAAAACTAAACACAGAGACGCTCGCAGCTCTGCCTCCGAGGATTGTGGGTGGGTGGGGAGTGCGGGGGCGGAAGTGAGGAGAGACATGCAATTCTTTCAACTTGGTTATTGTATTTGCACAGAGCTAAAGCATAGCAGGGAAGAGATAAAAAGATAGTGGCACAATGCAATCAGGAAACTAATGTGCATCGGAAATCAACACTGCTTTATGAAACATCTTACCTGGAGACGAATAAATGAACGACATAACGAGATCATGACCAACGAGGAGTCAGATCAACTAAGAATGCACAGCTGAAATATTCATAAAATCACAAGGGGGGGGGGGGAAGAAATGAAGTCATGGCGGATGTGTGTAATCGCGTGTGCGTGCAGAAGTATTTAATGCATGAGTAGGTGTACAAGGACAGGAGGAGGAAAGGAGGTCACTCGTACACGGATGTATTTAAGAGTCTGAAAGGAGGTGATGCAGTAAACCCCACCCGCCTGCTACTTGGAAGGTGGATAAAACCTTATCTGATACACATCCCAAGGTTATTTTCTAATTGTTTACACCAGGGTTTTCATTAGGCGCTTTCACACCGGAATACTTTTCCCCGTACTTTTCCCGTTTAGTTCCGATAGTTCCTGGGATTTTGCGTTCACACCAAAAAGAGAACTTAGTTCAACTTTTACCCCCTTTTTAGTCCCTGCTAGAGAGGTGGTTCTTTCCATGGGAGAAAAAAGTTCCAATTTCTGATTGGCTGGGCGAATTGCAAACCACGCCCCGTAAAACTCTGAAAAGTTTTTTGAAGCAGCCATTGTATTTGTTGGCATTAGCATTATTAGCATTAGCATTAGCCCCGCGCACCAACGGAGAGAGAATAACTTATGGCAACACAAAAGAAAACATGGGAGCGGTGGAGATGAGGAGGTGTCGGCGTTCTGGCGATTTACTCGGAAGGCTTCAGTAGAAGCTGCTGGGAGTCCCAGCAGCTTCTACTGAAGCCAGTCCCCAACTCCGGGGACTTCCGGCCGGGGACTTCGGGTGGCAGTATACGCCGTGAAGTTGTTTGCGGCCTGCCAGTAAACCCAAAGCAGAAGAAGAAGAAGAAGAAGAAGTGACATCAGCGGCTTCATTTGCGTAATCTTCCCTAAGGGAACTTATTCCGGTGTGAACGCGATCTGTACTTAGTTCCATGGGGGCACTAAGTGCTGGGAACTAAGTACGGCAAAGTACTTGGTGTGAAAGCGGATAATATAGAAGATGGAGAGCTGTGGGAGATGGATGCAGCAGGAGGGGAGATTTATTTCTATGTTCTTGTTTTGGGGTTGTTGTTGTTGTTGAAGAATGCTCCACAGGCTGTATTAAAAAAGCAGGGGAGACTCCGGCAATCACTCAAACGGCTCGCTCCTCCAAAGTCACTGCGGACGGCTTCCAGCGATTCTTCCACCGCTGAGAGCGGGAAAAAAAAAACTGTCTGCTCCACCGCAGGTTACTGAGCAACACCTGCCTGATGAAGTCACATTTATATAAGAACTCGGGACAATAAGATGTTTGACATTTGAAGAAGAAAGGTAACGCCTACTGTTAAACCTGACTCATAGCTCCAAGGCATTCTCACACATCGACATGTCTTTCGTCAAGCAGAGGAATGAAGATAAAGTCACTAGTGTTGTCAAAAAGGCACTAAACAAATCTGTGTGCAATTGAAATGCAAATTATACTTGAATATAAGTTTGTATTTTTGAAAGCGACACGAGTTGCATAACAAACCGACTGTCATTATGTTGCATATTAGCTTATAGCAACTCAATTAGCCCTCAAAGGTAGAATATACTTTATGGATTTAGTCTAAAAGAGCGCAAGTAAGCTGGACTTTATCCTGCTTGTTTTTGTACTACATTCATTAGAGCATAATACACAATACTTACTCATCGATTTATTCTGTGACAGTAACAAATTGCCCACACTTTTTGCTGGTTAGATCTTATTATGGTTTTTCGTCCCAGGTATTTTTCTTTGTTCTTTTGGCTCACTTTCTACATTTAGCCAGCCAAAGAGTTCACAGTCAGTGAAGACAAAGAAAGTGGCTTCCATTATTTTCTTTGCAAGGTAATGAAACGTGCAGTCTTCATGATGCAAAAGTAATTGTTCCCATTTAATGATCATTAATAGATTCATTATCACGCCTCAGTAATCTAATTTCGAAAAGAAAGACTTTACTTGGGACAGACTAAAGGTGAAGGTATTTGAGTTCATGCAGGGTTAAACATTTTAAATCTTTAACTTTCTTGCACTTACTTTCAAGGCCCTCGAGTCTTAAGGAGATTAAATCCAGAGAGAAATGCAGAAAACAGTGCAGCTAAGTGACTAAATGGCACGTTGTCATTATGTCATTATGTCATTATGAGGGTGGTCCATCATGGGCTGCATATTCGCCACCAAGCCTCCATTACTCACACCACAGTGCGAAGTGGAGGCAAACTGGAATTGATTGTGTCTGAGTACACAGACCCACCGCTTTCACACGCAAAGGCCTGCAGCACTTACACTTGTGTCTGGACATTTCTTTTCCACCTGGACGCTGTTTTCTTAATCTATCCATCGCCCTGATCGATTCTGACCAAAATCTCATCAATTGCTTTACTATGGAGCTACTCGCATCTGGGTGTAGCTTTCCAAAGAGCCACTAATGGGGCGTCCAGGTGTCCTGAAAAACTGCTGACTTTTGACTGCTGCGGCTTATTTGTGATTTTGACTTGACTTTTGCGTTGCTCGTTTTTTCTTTGCTGGGAAAACGCAGCTCATGTGTTGCCATGTGAAATGCAAATGTCATATTTACATAGTAGATCAAACTGTGAGCTGGTTGTGAAAGATATACTCTTTTGTGTATTTTGACATGCTTGATTATGCTTAAAATTCTCCTTAGGGGGGTTACTTTAATTTGCTTTCCATTTACTTGTCTTCCATATGGTTGTGAATAAAATATTACAAACTATTTTTAGGTATTTACTAGAAGGGGGAACACATCACATAGTATCTAATTTAAATACAAACATTTCCAATTTTAGAATATTTAGTTTGGACTAATTTCTTATGAGGCATGTTTTGTTTTAAATGTAAGATTGAAGCATATGTGAACATATTTTTTTGTTTTTCTCAAAGTTAAGTATAAAAAAATGGCAAATAATACTTTTAGGAAAGACATATTTTTGCTGTTTTTTGTGCAGTATGATCAGTTTTAATTTCAGTTTAGGGGCTTTCATTCACTTATTTAACTCTACATTTCTGTGTCTGACATAATCTCTGTGTGTACATTCATGCATCTTCCATCAGGGGGAACTATAAGAACTTTCCTTTTAACACATTGTTAAATCCATTTTCATTTGCTCTGCTTATTAATAGCATCATGTACATCCCTTTATACACCATCTTGCCTTGGTACCATGCTTATTAACACCTTGTGATCCATATGGGATTACCTGTTCCTTCATGTGTCCCAGACTCAATCTTCCCAAGCCTCGGTCTGGAAGGAGAACAAAAGGTTGTTCGGGGACGACCCATCGTTCCCCTGCCCCTATTTCATCCACTAACCGAAGGAAAATAATTTCTCTGTTTGCTTCCTATGTTCCTTTTCAACAAGCACGCCTTTCACATTATGGTGGAGGTAAGAGCAGTTCAATTGAAGTTGAAACTCTTATTAGTTTTCCCCCCGTTTTTTTGGGTTCAGACCTTGCTTTGAATTCTCCACCTCGATCCCAGACCACCATTTTGTTCTTCTCTTTGCGTCTTGTTTTCGGTTCGAAGCACTTTTTTTTTTTCTGCCTGGGTATTATTGCATGGATGGATGTCTTTTGTGTTCCCTGCTGAAAAATGTATTGTGCATGGTGGAAAATAAGTGGCCGACACAGCTCCGAATGCAGCCCTCCTTTTTTTTATTTATAT